CTAAGAGGTTACTTGTTGAAAGGATGCCCTATAAATAGAGTGGAGGATGAAGGAGAAAAGGGGGTGGAAAATTGGCAGAGAGCGGGAATACTAGTGAGAAGTCTACTGGAGAACGACGAGCATCATGAAATTTCTGGCGATCTGGATTTCCATGCTCATTGATTTCCTTTATCGCTTTCTTTATTTTCCCTGGTAATTTACTTTGATGCAGATTATGTTTAGCAACTTTAATTTTCTGTATTCTCGATTCCTTGTCATTTCCCTTTAATGAAAGTTAAGTTTCTGCGTTTAAGTTCCTTGTCATTTATATTTGTGCAATTTTGATTTCCTGTTATTCTTTTTCTTGCAACTTCGATTTCCTGTTGTCTATTTTTCTGCAAAGTTAGATTTTTATTTATAATCCTGCAATTTCCGATTCCTTGCCATTTACATTTAATGTAATTTTAAGGTTTCTGCACTTTACATTTTCTGCAATTTAATATTTCTTCGCAGTTTTACATTCGATACTGCTTTTCGATTTGTCACTTTACTGTTTTCCTTATTTCGAGTACTTCAAACACAAAATACCAAAAATAGTGCTTTCGATTATTAATCTTAGTATTTTCTATACAGTGGTACTTTTGATTCTCATACGCATTTCGATTGAAATTCAGTTGCTAGCCTAAGTATAAAGAATCTATGTGGTTGGAATTTGGTTAGAATCAAAAGCCTCTTAAGAATCGAAATTAATTAAAATTCCACCAGAAACACAATCATTCTAATTTAAGATGAGATCAACAGATGAAGGACAAACTACTTTATACACATGTATCCGCTCAATCTCGTGAGAATTAGTGGTATTTGGAAGGAAAATACAATTTTGTTTTAATGAAATCCCTATATTTAGTCATTGTCAATTTAGATGAATGCGAAATTTGATTTTAAAAATATTTTTAGTTTCGAAGATATTTTTTATAGGCCTCGATTCTAATCAATCGATAACATTTTTCAAAATATAATTATTGATTTTAAAATATTTTTAATCTCAACAATATTTTTTATGTCTTTTGATTTCAATCATTCATAAGATCTAATTTTTTATTTTAAAGTTGCTTTGACAATTTTTAAAAATATACTTCTCGGTTAAAAATGTTTTCAACTTTTAAAACAATTTATCAAAAGTTTCAAACATTTTATATTTTAATCGATTTAATTGATTAAAGAGTTAAAATGTAAAAAATAAAATAAAAATGAACTACCTTATCTTTTATCTCATGTTTTTCAAATTTATAAAATCTAATCGATGATTACATATCTAAACAACATCTTTGTAAATAGAAGATTAAATATTAAGAAACAACATATTTGATTACAACATATAAATACTTGATTCATATAATAACCTTAAATTTAAAATTAAAAATATTAAAGACGTTATTAAGTTCCTTAAAAAAAGTCATTAAGAATGTTTTTAGGTTCTCTTCTGTGAGAGAAAATGAAAAAAAGAAAGTTAAAAATTTCTTTTTTATTTGGTTGTGTAGAAAGTGAAAGGAGAGCAAATATATGTATGTGAAATGAGAGATGTAGTAATTAATTTGTGGGTAAAAAATATATTTAGAGTACTTTTTGTAAAGAGAAGGATTTTTTCATATTTCTCATACAATATAAATAATATAAAATTGTGAAAGCTTTCGCTAATTATTTTTGTTATTTCTATTTTTTTTTTTCAAGAGTGAATCATCTAATTCATCAACCTTAAGGAGGTGTTTAATTTATTTAATAAAAATAAATCTGTCCTAATTTTATAATTTTCTTCCTTTGACTAAATTCTCACCCATCAGTTTGTGTTTGGATAAAGGATAAATTTGAGGAGTAAAAAAAAATGTTTAGATTGAGAGAAAAAAATATAAAATAAAGAGAAATGAGGAAAAAAATTAAAATAATAAAAAATATATTAATAAAATAATTTATTAAATTATTAAAATATGTTTACTTAAAATTTAATACAAATCATATAAATAAAAAATAAAATTTTATTTAAAAATAAAATTTTAAGTAATAATTAAAAATCATGTATATTTAAAAATAAATTATTAAACTTTTGTTTAAAAACCATGTACTATATATTTAAAAATAAATTTTAAATTATTAATTAAAAATCATGTATAAATTTTAATTTTAAGTACTAATTAAAAAAATTTAAAATATAATAAAAAATTTCATAATAAAAAAACTAATAATATTATTAAAAATTAATATTTTATTGAAATATAATTTAAATTTTATTATAATAAAAGTTTATAAGAGTAATGTATAATTATAATTACAACATTAATTCATATATAATAATATTTTTTAATATAATCGATTATTTATACAATTATCCACATTTATTTATTCGATTAGGTTCTTTTCTAAATTTTATGATAAGGATTTTGTTTATAAAATTATACTACAACTAATTTATTATTAATAAAAATGACACATAGTTATATATATATATATATATAATAATAATAATAGTAATTATTATTATTATTATTGTCATATTTTCATATAAAAAATTTAAAACTTAATATAAATAAAAATAATAAAAATAATTTCAAATAAAATAAAAATTAAGAAACATGCATATATATATATATATATATATATATATATAATAAATTAGATTAAGTAATACGTAGAAAAAAAAGTGTTATATTATAAATTATAAATAACAAATTATAAAATGAGATAATAAATATTGAAGGATAATATGAATAATAAATTTAATGATAAATAATTTTGTATATAAAATAATTAGATTTCATAAATATAATTTCTTTTAAGGTTGTACCTTCAATTCTTTATAAATAATAATACTACAAAGGTTAAGACTCTAATCATCACTTTGAATTCTTTCACTAAATTCTTATGAAGTAACATTTTTATTTTGGATGAATTGACGTTCTCATTCTCATTTTTAGAATTTTTTTCTCATTTCCAATAAAAATAGAAGCTTACAGGATAAACAAAATCAAACACAAAAAGTGATCAAAAAATTTTTTTTTTCTAAAATTAAGACATGTATTATGTCGAGGACAAAAATGTAAAATAAATAGAATAAAGTTTCTGAATTGGTGAACAGCTTGTATCAAGCTAACAAATAGATTGAACTCAGTATAAATTTAACATGTTCTGACCGGAAAATCATGAGTAAATTTCGTTGTTCTTTTCGCTCCACTAATCAAGGTTCATAAATGAAACTGCTATTGTTTTCAGAATAAGCCGCCATAAGAGATTTCGCGTAACTTTTAGTTAAAAATTAGCAGGGTATAAAAGTAAATTTAGGATGATGAATAGATAAACAGAATTAAATTAGATCTATTTTGATCTATTTTATTTATACTATAATCTACTAATTTATTTATATCATAATCTACTGAATTTAATTTAAGTTGATTTATAAATTAATTTATTTTATAGAATAATAAAATTTTAAATAAAGATAAATATTATTTTATTAAAAAAAATATATATATATATATATATATATATATATTATAAATTAATTTATAAGAGGTTTTTTTATTTTAACAATAAGTATTAGATTAAGTCTCTAATAATTATTTATTCTAAAATTTAAAAATTAAGATACATTCTTATTTTAGATTAATAAATTATTAAAAAATAAATTATGATATTAAGAATAAGATTTTAATTTTAATTTTAATATTAAATAGTTATATTTTTTATAATTTATATATTAAATAATTATATTTTAAATAAAAAATAATTTCATTAATATAATTTTAGTTTTAAAATATTTTTTATCTTTTGTTTAAATATTTTTAATATAAGGTTAAACTAAAAATTATATTTTAAAATATAAATTTAATTAAGTCATCTAATTTTTACTTGACAGATAAGTTGGACTTTATTTTAACAGTTCTTATTAATTTTTAAATAAATTTTAATTAAGAAAATTATATTAATTCTTTAATAGATAAGTAGAATTTTTTCATTCAATCTAATCGGATCGAACAAGTAAAATTAAAAAAATAATCTAATTTAATTTATATTTTAAAATGAATCATAATTTTTAATTTAATTTAATTTTATAATTATAAAAGAATTAATCAAATTTTATTTGATTAATTTTTTAATAAATATTTAAATAAAAATAAATAATAAAAATATATTTTTTATAATTTTAATTATATTAATAAAATTATTTTTTATTTAATAATTTAACATATAAATGATAAGAAGAAATATTTTCAATTTAAAATAAAAATTACAAACTTTTTAATATTTTATTAATTTACATCAATGATTAATCATAATTATTAAATATTAAAATAAAATATCGTTCGACACTTTTTTTAATGTTAATTCTTAAAATAAATGAACTACGTATTAAATTAATTTATAATATATATATATATATATATTTGTGAAATAATTTTATTTTAATTTTCATTTAAAATATTATTAGTATGTTCTGAAATAAGTCAATTTTAAATTTAAAAAGTAAGATGACGTAAATTTATATAAATCATAAATTAAATAGATTAGATTAAAATAAATTTGATTTAATTTATATCATAAATTTAAGTTATTATTTTTCAACCATTTTGAATCGGCGCCATAATACTCCAAAAATAACTAATGAGAAAAATAATAGCTAATTAATATTTATTAAAATAGTGGGAGTATAGAATAAACATTGATATTATGAGTATGAAATTGAAGATGGTATGAAAATGGAAGGGGTGTGTATGAAGCTTTTTAAAGAAGGAAGAGAAGAATATAGCATTGTGGTAATGTGAGGTTGGGTGGCGTTGACGCGGTAGAGATTTCAGAGTGGAATGGAGGAATAAATGATTGACGTGTGGTAAGAAAAAGGTTAGATTGATTGTCAGGTAATATATTATTATAAGGAGAAGACGACGTCGTGGGGAATCGCTGGTTTCCACCGACAACCCTTCTCTTCTCTTCTCTTCTCAATCCCGTTCCTTCCTTCACCTCCAGTCTCGATGGCTGATAATATTAATAATAAGGAAAACAATCACGAGGAGGCAAGTCCTCTTCTCGACCAGCCCAAATCCCAACCAACTACGCCACCTGACAATCCCGAGTTTCTCATCGGGTGGACCGCAGATGGCCTCCCGTTGGGCCACGGCAGCGTCGTCGGCCAGCCCATGGGCCGCGCCCCCTGGAACTCCTCCATCTGCGCTTGCCTCGGCCAGAACGATCACTTCTGCAGCAGCGATCTAGAAGTTTGTTAGTTTTCCCATCCCTCACTTGCCTATTTCATTTCAACGTTTTTCTGAATTTGTAATGTTTCGTGTAAAATTCATCCCTCGGTTTTTCAATTCCACGCGTGTTAACTTTCTATTTGACCTCTGCGGATATTCTCTGCGTATAATTTATTGGGAATGAAGGCCGTGTATTTCATTTCCCCGATTTGTTTCGTTGAATCTAGCTTGTAATTTTCTCACGTGCTCCTTTTCGATTTCTTAATCCTAAACCATTGGGATCGGTGGAAACATTAGTTATTGTGTTGGTTTTGTGTTCTAATCAGGTGCTATTTCTATGATGAAAAACTGATTGTGGATTTTGAGCACTCCGTTCCTTTTGATTTTTTTTCGATCTGGGTTCATTTATTTACTTTGAATCTATGTCATGGGCTAGGTCTTCTTGGGAGTGTGGCTCCTTGTGTGCTGTATGGAAGCAATGTTGAGAGACTTGGATCTACTCCCGGGACATTTGCTAATCATTGCTTGCCTTATTCTGGACTGTACGTAATTGGGAATTCCTGCTTTGGTTGGAATTGCCTTGCACCGTGGTTTTCCTACCCTAGCCGAACTGCTATCCGTCGGAGGTTCAATTTAGAGGTATGTTACTTTTTATTCTTCTCTCTATAATATAGTGATGTGTTAAGCAACCACCTATATGTGAGGGTATGGTGTGTTAATTGGGCAAAGGAATTGACATGAATGATGAGGATAATTAACTGTTAGCATGACCGGGGGAGGAAATTGGATGGAAACTTCATTGCTAGCTGCTGTCAAATAAATGATAAAGGACTGCATAGGACAGATGAGGGTGTGTCTCAAATCAAACTCCCTATGCTAATATATATATATATATATATATATATATATATATATATATATATATATATATATTCCCTTCAGTTAAGTCTTCTAATTCCTTAGTTAGTAGATAGTACATACCCTTTTCCTGTGTGGTCCGGTCCAGTTTATATCACAAGTGTTTTGCATCTGATAATATGACACACCTGCTCCCAGAAATGTTGTTAGCCGGAATTGGTTATTAATTGATCAACCTTTCTTCTTTAAATTTCTTTTTATATATTAACTATAAATAATTAACACTACCTCAGAGAATGCTGTAGCAGTCAACCCAAGTAGGCTAGATTCAACATACAAATTGGGTTGTCTACTCTATCTTTGTTTGGAAATTGTTCAAAACTTCTGATTCTAAAGTTGAATTGAGATTTTTGTTTATGTTGACCATTTTTCATATGTTGGTTTCATATTGTACTTTAGTACATTTAGTTTTGGTACAACGAGGTATATATTGAGTGTGGTGAACCTGTATTTAGTATAATTGTGTGACCTGGATTAAGAAATTTATTCTGTAATCTTCTTTTATGAAATTGAAATGTGTTAATTGTGGATTACCGATACGACAGTCCTATTATTTAGAGGTGATTTGGATTAATAGAAAGAACAACTTTGTTTTTTTGCATAGATTTTGTTGCTAGTCAACACGTAGCTTCACTTAATGTTATGCTTGAAGTTTTGTTCAAAGTTCAATTTAACTTCAGGTGTATTCAATATCGAACTTGTATTGCTTAAAATTACTTGGTGTTCTCTAGTACGGTTTTATGTATGGTGCCATGCTTCATAGATGGGAAGCCCGTGTAAGTTAGATTTTCCTTTATCCACATTCCTAAGTTATTGAAATATTCAATCTTATATAAATTACTTGTTTTCCTTGGGACAGGGAAGTTGCGAAGCACTTAATAGGTCATGTGGGTGCTGTGGAAGCATTTTGGAAGTTGAGGCACAGCGTGAACAATGTGAGTCAGCATGTGACTTGGCAACTCATGTCTTCTGTCATGTGTGTGCTCTTTGTCAAGAAGGTCGTGAGCTCCGTCGTAGGTTACCTCATCCTGGCTTTAATGCTCAACCAGTACTGTTTATGATTCCCCCACCCGAGCAGACCATGGGACGTGAGGCTTGAAAATATTCTCCATTATCTTGGAAGTGCTATTCTTGTGTATGTCACTGTTGCGTCTATAATTTGATGTTGAACCATGTTATGACTTTATCCAAAGAGGGTCCTGGCTTTTCTATTTTTTTATAAACAAGAGATTAAAACATTTTACTCCTGTTTGCGTCCCTCTTGTTTTGTATTATATATAGATTTAAATGATATGGGAGAAGTTTTCTCCTAGTATGTTTATGCCCAACTACTATTTAGTTTAATGAACTGAATGATAGAAAATGCTGCATAAGTGCATAATTCCTGTATGGTTATGTACTTTCGGCTTGTTTATTCAGGCTTAAATATTGAAAGGAAGTGTAATGTACAATTTTATTTCCTCAGTCTGGGGTGCAGCTTAAATGGTAATCGTATTTGCATTGGAAATGTATTCAACACCTATTTTATGACGGAACATGTCTTGCTACGGCCTCTATTTTTTATGCCTTTCCTTGTAGGGAGATACTAATCGAGTTGTTATTGCATGCATCTGCGTCCAACGATGACATTTGCTTGAAAGGAGTCTAAGTCGGTAATTTTCCAGGAATAGGTAATGTTCTTTGCCTCCACAATAAATATGTGGGTCCAATTTTCTGCATTCTAAAAATATCTTTGTTCACCCTTTTTTCTGCTAATGGGAACGAAAGGTGTCTTTTTAATGGTGTTAGAGGTTTTTCTTTTTTATTTTTTTAAATACCATCTCATCTACACACAATTCACCATCTTTTAGTTAAATAAATGGGAGTATCGGTGTGTTGACAACTCAATTTTTTTTTTTCATATATCTATTCTTCAACTTCATTCTAATATAATAATAATAATAATAATAATAATAATAATAATAATAATAATCATTTAAGTTATTATTATATAATGTGATGGTTGTGTTTTTTAGAAAAGGGTTCTGAGGATATATTTTCCCTAAATTATATCATCCATTGAAAACATGAAAACAAACTCGGTAACAGTCATAACACATGCAAGACTTTGGAATTTCACGCATAAAATCCAATGATATAAACTATTTTAGGCCTTTTTGATTTCTTGATCTCGTTTTCTAACACCGGCCAATTTCAATTTTTGGCTAAAAGAGCTTAAAAATAAATATAAGAAATAATAAAATTTGTTCCATGAAAAATTTAATTAAATAATTACATGTAATTTTTCTACATTACTTTCGGAAGAAAATGATCTCAAATTAACTTTAATTATGTACATATTTTCATATTTCATCCTTACAATATCAAACACACAACAATCGTTGAAATGCGATCAAAATGTTTTCTCCTGAAATGAAATTGATATCCATTCACAGTAATTCCATTAATAGTTTCTTTGGATTTTTTTTTTATTAAAATTATTTCATGCTTAAAAGATAATAAAGTTTTACCAAAAAAATGTGTGGACAAATGAAAAGATCAAGGAGAAGTCTCCTTCCTCTAAGACGGAAGCGGCGGGCAAAGATAGAAGTGTAAAATAAAGAGTTGGAATAATAAGATAAAAGGTAAAAAAATTGAATTCTTTGTTATTCCTTTTCAAGGTTATTAAAAGAAAGGAAGTTGAACATTCCTTAAATAGGTAAAGATTATAAAAGGGGAAAAAGCTCTAAACAACTAGATTACAGGTAAAATAGAAACTCTAAGATCTTTTAGGTCACAATACCCTCTTCTTAAGCTAGACAACGGACAATGAATATTTATCATTCCAAGCTCGGGAAGAATAAATCTGAAGGAAGTTGATGAAGTGATTTGGTGAAAATATCTAAGTTGGTTACTGGAGCTAATAGGAAGAAGATGGAATAGATTGTTTTTTAGTTTTTCACGAACCACATGACAATCAATCTCGATATATTTCGTTCTCTCATGAAAAGTTAGATTTTGAGCTATATGTCTAGCATATTGGCTATCACAATATATAACAACAAAGGTGTTAGAAGAAATGTTGAAATCACGAAGGAGATATTGTGTCCATTGAAGCTCACGAGTGGTAGTAGCAAGGACTCTGTATTCAGCTTCTGAGGAAGATTTGGAAACAATGTTCTATTTTTTATTTATTTCCAGGAAATCAAAGATCCTAGAAAAATGCAATAACCAGTGATGTTGCGTCTAGTGTTGGGACATGTTGTCCAATTTGAGTCAACGTAGCCTAGTATTTGTATGTCATTATTCGAAGTGAAGAAAAGACCATGAGTCTGGCTTTCACATATCTGAGGATGTGTTGAGCTTCCTTGTGATGATAAATGGTTGGATTCTGCACAAATGGACTTAATAAATGAACATAAAATATTATATTAGGTTTAGAATTTGTTAGGTAGAGAAGTTTTCCTATTGGACATTGATAGGGTTCAGGGTTGTTAAGTGGTTCTCCTTTTTCAGAAAGGTCTTTGATGTTGCTCATACGGAGGGTCTGACAAGATTTACTATCCATCATTCCAACTTTAGTTAGGATGTCCAGGGAGTATTTTCTCTGACATAGGTGAATGCCCTTTTTGGACCTAGCAATTTCAAATCCTAGGAAGTAATTTAATTTTCCTTGATCTTTGATTTTGAAGTCTTTGTATAGAAGTGTCTTGGTTTTTTAATCTGGTCCATACTATTTCCTGCAAGAATAACATCATGTACATACACAAGAAGAGTGGTAAAAGTAGCAATAATTTTGTGTGTAAAAAGAGAGTAATCTCACTTTGATTGGATATATCCTATAGAAATGAGGAAGAAAGAGAGTTTTGCAAACCATTAGCGACTTGCTTGCTTAAGACTATAAAGGGATTTAGTCAATCTGCAGACTATTGAAAATACAAGGGTATGATGCCTGAAGATTTTGATGATGATTCAAAGACAAAGGACTTCAAAGATTAGAAGATTTATATACATTTGAAATTGCTTGTAATAACTTTGTTTTGTCATTTTGAGTCTGTAAAAGTAGTGTCCATGATAATCAGTACTTAGTCTGTCCACAAAAGCTTCATATTTATTAGGGACTCACTGGAATAATCGATTATTGCTGAGGATAATCGATTATCCTGTCTAAACTTCAAGTTTTCTGAAAGTGGCTATGGAATAATCGATTATTGCTGATGATAATCGATTATCTTGGACAAAATAATCGATTATTGCTGATGAAAATCGATTATCCTGTGAAAAATGGTTTTTCTATATCTGGCTCTGTGATAATCGATTATCACTTATGATAATCGATTATTTGTGTCAGTTATGATTTTGAATTTCAAATTTCAGACCTATTTTCGAAATCCCCTAAATTCAAAACCCTAAAATCTCTATTTAAGGAACTCTCTGGCTCTTTGTAAAGAACTACTTTTTCATACTAAAGTTTATAGTTGTGACTGCTGAGAGAACTTTGAGTAGGGAAGAAAAAGGGGATTTTGTAACCTAGTGTGGGCTAGAAGCGATAAGAATCACTAAGTGGGTTTCTTGGTGGATTGTGTGTTGTGCCGTCTCTAGGAAAAGCTGTCTTCATCCTTTGTGGCTTCAAAGGAGGTGTTCATCTCTTGTGTGACTCAAGAGAGGTGTTTTCTAATCCTTGTTTATTTGTAATCTGTTTATTTGAAAATCATTATTTTAGTGACTGAGTTAATCCTCTTTTAGAGTGATTAACAACTGGACATAGGGTCTTTTGATCCGAACCAGTATAAATTACTTGTGTAATCTTCTTCCCTTATCTCTTTACATTTCAAGTGTTTTATTGTATTAACGTTTAATCAGTAAAAATCTTGTGAAATTTTTTAAAAAGGGAAAACATTTTTAAGAAACCAATTCACCCCCCTCTTGGTTTTTGTCTTAATGCAAACATTCTGCTGCGCGATACCAACACAGACTTGCCCGGTCTTGACAACATTGAGTCCTGGTGAAGGAGTCATGTAGACTTCTTCATTAAGGTCTCCATGTAAAAAAACATTGTCTACATCAAATTAGTATAAATTTCAATTGTTTGTTGCTGCATGTCGCCGCCGTCAAAAGAGGCGGTCGGAGGGACGCGATGGTTTCCGACTTTTGACTCGCATTTTAAAGTGATGTTACAACGCCTTTTAGGTTGTTCGATAACCGGGCTGGACCTAAAGGCGAGGTTTTCGAAAATGCGTTCTGGAGTCGCCACCAATGTTTTATCCGGAAACATTGGAAAATGAGAAAAGAAGACGTTGGTTTTGAAAAACCAACTTTGACCATTATAATCAGAGTTGGGTAAGGGAGTTAGTTACGTGTGGGGAAGGTATTAGCACCCCCACGACGCCCCTTTCGGGTTCCCTATGATGGGCCGTTTATTTAATAAATAAACTTTAAAATGACGCTTTTACCTTTTTATTTGCGGAATTAAGAAAATAGTGATTACATGACCCTAACAGCTAATACACGTATAAATGTAGATAGAAAGCGGTAAAAGAGAGGGAGAAAGTGTGGAAACCTTCGAAGCAAGTTTTCTTGATTAATATTCTTGGAATAGGACGCTTTTTGGCAGTCCTTCACTCTATAACGCCGATCGCTCTTTCTTGCAACGCTATAAAATGCTCCCTAAGAACACTAAGAAAATTCCGGAAATGCTTCGGAGAGATTCTAGGAGAAGAATTTGAAGAAATGGTAGAATAGAAAGTTGAAAAATTGTGTGAAATGAAGGGGAGCGTGCTCTCCTTTTATAGGGATTCACGCCTGTCAGGTCGAGACGTCCGTCTCGCCTGGCAAGGTCGAGACGTCCGTCTCGCCTGGCAAGGTCGAGACCGCCGTCTTGCCAAACGGGACGACGGTCTCGCCTTTGGCAAATGGCGAGACGGTTGTCTCGCCAATCGAGAAGGCGATATCAATTTGACAAATGGCGAGAAGACCGTCTCGCCAAGTGGGAAGACGGTCTCGTCATTGGCAAGTGGCGAGACGGCGGTCTCGCCCTTTGCTGATGGCGAGATGACGGTCTCGACCTTTCAGGTGGAATTCCTTATTTTTTCTGTACAAAAAACCTTCCTACTCTAATAT